TACTGGTAAATCTTATTGATGAACTAACCTCACTTGCATAATTCAGCTAAGAATATCTCCCCAGAGGGATTGTATTGAAATAAACGAAGCTGCTTCTTTCAAACTAAGATGACTGACGGTGCTTTATGGGTCTCCCCACCCGTCCAGTGTGATCTTTGTCCAAGGCGACCTGCAGTGGGACATCTTCCAGGTGATCATCTCTCGTTCCACCACGCCCGACCTCATCAAGATCGGCATGAAGCTGCAGGAGTTCTTCACCCAGCAGTTCGACACCAGCAAGCGTGTCCTGTCCACCTGGGGCCAGGGTTCATACATGCTACCGAGAACTCCAGTCCTGAGCGCTGAGAAGGCCAAGGCTGAGCTCCGTAGGCACCTCTTAAAAATCGCTCTTTATTATAATATTTGAAGTACTACCTTCAGGGATGCCTGACCTCATTGTTCAGGTCTTGGCCACCTTCCTCTCACCCCGTGTCCCTGTTCTGACTTTCAGACACGGGTGCAGACCATCACCGCCACTGGCCCAGCGTCCTGAAGGCCATCGCTGGCTGCCACATCTCCCTGTTCCCCAAACCTCTGCCCGAGGATGCCGTGCAGCTGGGTGGCTCCATGAGTCTCCACGGCAACCACATGACCCTAGCCTGCTTCCACGGGCCTAACTTCCGCTCCAAGTCCTGGGCCATGTTCCACCTGGAGGAACCTAACATCACATTCTTGACCGAGGCCCAGAAGATTGCAGAGGAAGATGGTAAACACCCAGCTAGGGAAAAATACATTGCACGATGCGTTGACATTTTTTAAATAAAATTAGTTCAAATAGTCTATTCATCTATTTAAAATAAGGTCATATTTATATAAAGACTTCTTTTTTGCATTATAATTAGTGCTTATGAGAAAATTATGAGATGTTATCAAGGTCTTTGTAGGATTTCACTTTAATCACTTTTTAACACAGGGTCTTGTGATGACTCAACATACGTCGTTCAAACGCTGGATTTTAATCTGGGTCACAACACCATTGTGACCAGGCCCTGTGGTGCATTGGAGAGCCCCATGGCGACCATCACCAAGATAACCCGGCGACGACACGAGAACCCTCCCCACGGCCTCGCCTCCGTGAAAGAATGGTTCAGCTATGTGACTGCTATGCGGAATGAAGGTTTGTATATTTATGTGTGACTTAAGTACCACAACTGTCCTGATTTTACTTCAGCAAGCTGTTTCAGGTAGATCTGACTTTAACCATATGACTGTTATGACTAATGCTTATTGTAAAAAGTCATTGTTGTTGACCAGTGGTCTGATCAAGATGACTGCACAAATAATTTTATATAGGACATGCACTTTAAGTTCAGTGATTTAAAGAATACAGACCATTCCTCCTTTGATTCAATGGGACTGGAGCCCACTTCTCAGAGACATTTTGGGTGTGACATAAATGCAGCCTCCTGTCCAAGTTGTAATTTGTTGATGTGACCCTGGTTTCTCAGAGCTGAACAAACTCAGGGAAGTGGAAACCGATACCAGTGATCCCGAAAGCGGAGTGGAGTCCAAGGTCTCCAGCGAGAGGAACGCCTGCAAAGGCTCCTCCAGCTATAACCATGAGACAGAGACCATCTTCGCTCTGCCAAGAATGCAGCTGAACTTCAAGTCCACCCAAGTGCAGGACCCCAAGGAGCCCTATGTCACAGGTAATGAGTTGTGTAGAGAGTTCCAGAAAAGCAAAGCTGGGCTAAGAATATGTAAGACAACAAGTTTGGGTGTTTATTTGGGGTGGGTGGGGTCAGGGGTCAAACTTTGAATCGGGATCGTTTGTTAATTGGCAAGTACTTTTAAATACAAGGAAAAACAAGCAAGAACAATCACGATAATAAATAAATTTTGTACATAAAAATATGTATGTATGTTACACTGCTTTTCAAGACATCCAAAGCTCTTGACAGAACCAATGGGGGGGGGGGCACTTCAACCCCCACCACTGTGTAGCCCCCACCTGGATGAGGCAACGGCAGCCATTCTGTGCCAGTACGCTCACCACACAGTAGCTAAGGTGGTGAAGGGGTAGGAGAGAATTCTAACCAGTTGCCCACAGTGTCCCCATCACTACACTGGGGCATTGGGATCCACACAGACCACAGGATGGGCTAACCTGTTGGTCACAGTGTCCCCATCACTGCACTGGGGCATTGGGATCCACACAGACCACAGGATGGGCTAACCTGTTGGTCACAGTGTCCCCATCACTGCACTGGGGCATTGGGACATTGGGATCCACACAGACCACAGGATGGGCTAACCTGTTGGCCACAGTGTCCCCATCACTGCACTGGGGCATTGGGATCCACACAGACCACAGGTTGGCCAAAAAATAAAGTGATGTGCATAGCACAGCTAATGTAGCAACAGGTGGTTATATGGGTAGGGGCGGGGGGGCAGACAGAATGATTGGCTGTTGATGGGGCCTACTGCTGTAGAAAAACAACTGTTTAGGCACGTGGTCTTGATCTTGACAGACCTTCAGTCATTTGGCAAAAATGGGCTGGTGCTCGGACACCCTTAGCCCCCACAAAACCCCCTGTACTTCCCTGTTGCTGAGTGTAGGTGACAGAGGGATCCAGTGTGCCTGTCCCAGGTTTGACAGGAAAATGGGTGTTTTATATCGTTTTGTTTGCCTGGGGTACCCATAAATTTCCTGCTCCTTCCCCTCCAGATTCCCCTGTTCTGTGGTTCTGTCGGTCACCCAGAAGGTGCCTCTTCCCCCCAGCCCATGTGGAAATAGTTTCCCTGTGGTTTTACTCTGTGGGCTTTTTTTTTTTCCAGCCTCCAGCGGCAAGCCGAGGGTGGAGTGCAGTGTGGTGACAGAGTTCACCGACCACATATGTGTCACCATGGATGCTGAGCTTATAATGTTCCTGCATGACCTGGTATCTGCTTACCTGAAGGAGAAGGAGAATGGTAAGAACATCTGACTCCCTCTGATACCACCACGCTGGGCCCGTTTCTTCTGAGAAGTCAACAGCAAGTGTCCCAGAATGGAACCTCAACTACTACAGCAGTTTCAATAAGGTCACTCGAGAGTTCATATATTTTCCAAGCTCCATTGTAACCTGCCCGTGCTCCTTGTCCACAGCTCTTCGTGGCCCCCGGTCCACTCTAGGGCGGGCAGGACAAAAGACTGCCAGAACCATACCTGAGAACATCTCCAGTGAAGAGGAGAAGCAAGATGGAATGAACTACGCCGCTGTGGACTGGAGGGAATTCCTGTGCAACACCTGGCACCTGGAACCTACCGTACGGTGAGACCACCAGACAGGCAGCGTCCATGCCAAACAAGCCCTGTACAGCACATGGTGATCTACTTCAGACCTAATGCTTCAGCGATGCTCTGAACTTCAATCTGCTGGAAGACTTTACATCCACCATCATTTTTTACTTCTCGCCATCCATATTTCATGCAACCAATTTTCCAGTACAGTGCCGTGGCGGCCGGGAGGTTCTTCATAAATGGTATGGGCTTACCCAGCCCACCACAGGGAACACACACCCAATCACACACCGTGAATGATTTAAAGACACCACTTCCCTACTGTGTCTTTGAGCTGCAGTAATACTCAGAGAAATAGCAGGGGAACTCCACGTGTAGAGCAGAGATGTTAGGCAATGGTGCTACCCACTGAGCCACTGTGGCACCCATAATATCAGAATACTGCTTAAATGCATATAGTAGAGGTGGAAGGTTCAGGTCGAGAGAGTACAAATCCAGACCAAGGTTTTGTTTCAACCAACCAGTTGAGTACTCTGACTGTGACTCTTTATACTCAACTGATGCCACTTGTCCGGGGTCGCTGATGGGTTGAAACAAAACCTTGGTCTGGATTTTTACTTTCTGGACCTGAAACTTCCACCTCAAGCAAATGGAATATATTTGTTAGTTACCTGAAATGGATAACCTGAGACAATAGCACAGCATTGGTAGAATACCACTGTCACCATCCAAGGAAGAAGTGTTGAAATGGTACAAAGTATTGATGTCTGAAGCGGTGACAGGCCAGGCCACAATGATGGCAGTGCAGTGTAGGTTCTGTTTCTTGAGACTAAAGTCTTTCTCCGTGTGTAGCAAACTGCTACACGTGTTAGCCTGTGTGATGTTCTTCACTCCTAGTTATTAAGGGGCTATGGAAATTTAGGGAGGTAGAGCTGAAATCCAGGCTCTTAAGCTGATTGTGAGATAGGATGGAAGAATTAAGTTCTGACAACAATCCTATCTTTCCTTCCAGATTGATTGACTGGACGGGACGGAAGATCGACCCAGTCTGTGTGGACTACATTCTGCAGAAACTGGGATTCCACCATGCAAGGACTACTATTCCAAAGTGGCTTCAGAGAGGAGTGATGGATCCTCTTGACAAAGTCCTTTCTGTCCTGATAAAGAAACTGGGTACTTCACTACAGGATGGGAAGGAGAGGAACGGAACAGGCAAAGAGGAACATTAACTTTTTGGGCTTCTCCCCCATGTGTCACTTTATGAAAGCCTACCAATGTGAAAATCATATTGTATAGATTTTTTTTAAAACGTGTAAAGTGTATTTTATAATAGACCTGCACAATGGTAATGCTGAGTCTCGGCATTGATGTTTACTACAGTGTATGTTGCCACTAAATTTTAACCGTCAGTGTAGCAAGCTGCCGCATTCTGTATATTTTGATCAAACTGGGGTAAAGCATTTAAATTTATGCTTAAGCATAATTTTTTTTATGATGTGCAATAGAATAATGTGTATAAATTGCTATATTCCATCAAATGTGAATTTACTAAGTATGTTGATTTCTTAACGTAATTAAAATTGAAATCAGTTATTTTTGTTCTAATGCTGACTTTACAGTGCCTCTTTTACATTTGGAGAGTAGACTTGGTGGAATCTAACCAAGTTTTCAGGGTACGTTTAAAGGGATTTACAGGTATGCTTTTCTAGATGGGGGGTGGAAAAACCCAAAATGCCTGTATTAGGAAAAATTAGGTTCGAAAATATAATAAATTAGTAGGATAACGAGGAGGATCATACAGTACAACTAAGGGAAAATCCACGACGAGTTGTGAAGTTGTATGAAATCAACGGCAACTTGTATTATGTGGTCCGACGTGAAGTGGAGGGTTACTAACCAATTTGTATAGGTCTCTGCAGGCTGGAGTAGTGGGCGTGTCTAATGGTCTGTGGGTGTTTCAAAGTGGGCGTAACAACAGGATGAGAGTATGGTGAAGTGGGTGGAGCCACACACAATTTCCTTGGCACTTTCTGGTTTGGCGGTAAAGTCGTTGCCTGACTTGCATGTTGTGACGTGAGTTTCTGCAGGACGGAATAGCGGGCGTATGGAAAGGTGGGCATGTCTAAATGTTATTTCTAATGGCCGAAAATCCTCTCAATAAACGGAAATAGTTTGGAAAGAGACCAGACATTCACTGGACATCCCAAACATCCTGACTATTCATACTACAAATGGTGGGTTCACGTGCACCATTATTTACAACTAACATTAACACTACACATGGCATTATGTATGGCACAAAAACAACATAATACATGATAAATACACAGAGCTATTTACACTTACAATGCTGGCACCGGTCCAGCATGCTACCTTGCTGTCCGATGGGTAACCCCAGCACTACATTGCCCCCCTCCTGGAAGGTCACCTGAGTTCTCTGTGACCTCAGGGCCCCAGGTTCCCCATCGTCCTCCTTAGTTCCGGCTGCCAGTGTACTCCAAATGGGGCGGTCTGGAGTCTCCAAGATCTCCGGGTTGAAGACAGAGATCGCCTCCCATTCCCTCATCCTTGACAGCACTGAGTAGCTGCTCTGCTCCACGACAAGCTGCTGGTGATTGAGCTCCTAGTGGGCCTGGTTCCCCAGCGCCGTGTGGGTGGCGGCTACTACCATCGAGAGCTGGTCCTGCTCCTCCACTTGGCAGCAATTCCAGCAGCTGGCAGAGCTGAGTGGCCGATGAGATAGAGACAACACTGGACCTCGAACTCCACCAGCACCTCCAACCAGTGGGGCAGCTGTCCCTCTGGGTTGCAAAAATTCAGAAACTACACAAGGTATGCCTGTTTCATCTGCAACCAGAACTGACGGGAACAGAGGTATGGCAGGAAGTTCTTACAGACCTGCACCGTGACTAGCAGTTCCTGTTGGGTCACGCAGTAGTTATGCTCCTGCTTACTTAGCGTTTGCCTGAAGTACACAGCCATGTGCTCCCCTTTAGATCCTGCCTGCAAGGCATCGCACCTAGTCCCTCAGTGCTAGCATCCATGTCTAGAATGAATGGGAGATGAGGGTCTGGTTACGGTAGCATGCAAGCACCGCACAGAGCTGGTTAAAGGTCATGCCGCAGGTATCCATCGACGCAAGAACACTTACCCTCTCTGTATGATGGTGCAGCAGTTTCGCTATGCTGAGTAAGTCCTTAAAGCCCCAGGAAGCCGCACAGATCTGCTACAGTCCATGGAGGGGTCTTGTCGGAGTTGGGGGCCGTGTCCTCGGAAGTGCATCCTGCGCTCGGTGGCGGGAGCACTCCCGCAGGTTCAGCTGCAACCCTGCCAAGTGGATTGCCACAAACACTGTCTTTTAAGTTCCACAATGCCCTGGCAAAATCACCGGCGTGGACCAGCAGATCGTCAAGGTAGACGATGCACTGGGGGACCTGATATATGACGTGCTACATTAGCCTCTTGAAGGTCGCCGGGGCGTTACCAGGTCAAACTGCATCAACCGAAAGTGCCCGTGACCAGTGGCGAACGCGGTCTTGGGGCAGGTTTCTGGGGTCAATTTGACATGCCAGTAGCCACTATGGAGGTCTAAGGAGCTGAACCACGTCAACCCGGTGATGTAATCCAGTGCATTGTCATTGCATGGCAGCAGGTAGGAGTCCTTCCTCGTCACTGCGTTCAGTCATCGGTAGTCAATGCAAAAACACCATGACCCATCCTTCTGCCAGATCCGTTTACAAACTTTGGTAGGGCTCTGTGATTTCTACCAATGCCATCTCCTGGATCTGCTGCTCTGCCACTTGTCGCTTTACCAGGAGCATTCAATGCAGACATACATAACACTCCCCACCCAACTGTATCAGTGTAATGCTACACCAGGGAAGTAGGTCAGCAGTCCAGTCCTTCAATTTTCCGACCTGCTTTTGAAGGATGCAGTACCTGAACTGGGACACAGCCAGCCACTTCCCAAGCAGATGCAATGACAAAATATGTAAACAGTACATAAACGATGTACACAATATAGAAATGGAGTAAATTACGTACAAAAATGAACAATAATTAAAGGTACTCAAATTATTAAATAAATTGTAGTGAGACAGACTATATAAACATAATAAAGTGCAGGAATGACAATTCGCGTTCATCAAGCAACATACTAAATGGAAAAAATAAAAATCGAATTGACGAAAGTTAGTTTGGGAAAGATTATAAGCATTATCGAGCTGCAGAGACCTACCCGTCATGCACAGGATGGTATATAAAAGGCTGCCCGTAGGGGGCTGGGCGTGTCAAACTTTAACACGCAGTTATACAGTACACTAGTTCCGACACACTTCTCACCTGTTCTCTTAACTCCCTGCTTAGCTTAAGGTAATTATCAAATCAGCACATCGCTGGATGCTTCTTTGCACGGGCGTGGTGCTTTTTAAATGGTGGTTTTCATATGGTAGGGTGATTTGTAATTTGCCAATGCACATGCATGCTTTATCCAAATTTTCAATCTAGTTTTAGTGGGTTCCGGGCCGAGTACCGCGCAATGAGTAAACCGAGCTGTAAAATGCGTACAGATAGGCCTACAGAGTTTCTAAGGATTGTTTGTGTTCCCTAGTTGGCGACGATGGACCGAGGGGGGTCTTTGCGGGGCTTCAGGGGGACCAGCCTTGCCCCGATTCTCAGTCGCAACTTTGTGGCCCCTTACGGATCGAAGAGCCGGTCTCTGTCGCCCGGCTACTCGGTGGTTCCTAGCAGCAAACGGGAGCTCATAGGCTGCGCAGCTCGGAAGACTGACACAGGTAAACGGGTATTAATGCGATAAAGGAAAGTTAAGACTATGGGTAGTGATGCACATTAGTGGTAACATTTATATGAAGTACGATTTAGCATATATATGGCTGTTGTGTGCATCCCTGACTGGCGGTTATGCGACGCGCAAGCGCCAAACCATAGCGGCAATCCAGTACCTATTTCTGCTGCATGTCCACCAAACTGCCGTCATAGGATATTTTAGTTGTTTCCCCTGATAATGTTTAAATTACGATAAGCGGCCCTCCCCAATTACCGTATATCTTGTGCAGGGTTACAGTAGTATTTGTTTTGCACAGTAAGGACATTGATCATTAATTTATTATTTTAGATGCGTTTATCCGGAGTGATTTATAATGTACAGTCTGTTATAGGGATTCAACCGGTACAGCTTCATCGTGTAATTTTGTGGCCATCCGTAACTTTTCAAAATGTAACAGTTTTTTTTTTTTTTTTTTTGCAGAGCCCAAACCTAGGGTTATACCTGTGCAGTTAATCGAAACGTACAAACATGGAGGAATCCACGCCGTCTCAGCCCTGTACCAACTCTGCCAGGCCCTGCAGTTCCAGCTGCAGCTCAAGGAAACTGTAACACCAGGTGGGGGGGGGGGCACCTCGCACCTCGCACCTCGCTGTACCAGCTGAAGAGCCGTAACTGCATCGTATAATCGTTGTCTAACCCCATATCGTGTGTGTACGTACACAATTTTGCAATAGTCTTCCCCATTTATCTAAAGAGTTGAAAACACCTGCCTCTGTTTCTTTAAGATCTCTGTGTGAATGCTAGTTATTTTCAAAGTCTGTTATGTCGCCTGTTTTGAAATTCAGATTCGCCCGTTTTATTAGCCAGCTATGTTAGTACCGCGCTCCTTCAGTGGAGTGGTTAACGATTACATGAGCGTTTCCTTCCATGGATTCGAACACCTTTCAGTGTTGTGGTTGTGGGGTCTGTACCCTGCCTTTACCTGCCTGACTGAGTGACCGCGATTGGCAAGGCCTTCAGCTCTCTTGCTCCCCCAGCGAACGTACAGGGGCTTTATTTTGCCTTCTGCGCTGTAATTGACGGCATGGAGTACCGGACCGGAGTGGGCCACACGAAGAAGGAAGCGCGGTCCCAGGCTGCTCAACTAGCTCTGGGTGACCTGCTGCCTACACTGGAGCCCCCATTAGATGGCCCCCAGTCCCCTGCTGTGGATGAGGCTGGGACTGGTGACCCCGTTTCGTATGGCAAGTATAGACTTCTCAAATGCATTATTATGGGGTCGTGGGAGATCTGGAAAACTGCTGGAACGGTAGGGGTGCATCCTGCACTGCTGACCATTTCAGCCTTTTATGGAAATAATGCAAATTATAGTGTAAGAAGTTGGATCCCTTTAGAACAGGCTTGTCATGCACCAGTCCTGAGGGGCCGGAGTCAGCACATGTTTTCTCTCATTTAACAAATCTGGTTCAACTCATTCTGCTAATTACCACACAGCCCTTGAGCTGAATCATTTGTGGTGGAGCTACACAGAGCTCCGGCCCCCCAGGACTGCAGTTTCACGCCCCTGCTTTAGAATAATATGGGCTATTTTACTTAAAATTGATTATTTTACTTAAAGGGAAATCTCACATCATGCAAGTGTTTGGCTCATGTGTACCGAACAGCGTAACCAAAATCTTAGCCGCTACTGCAACCCCCCCCCCCCCCCCCCCCCCCCCCCCCCCCACCCCCGACAGACGCACATCACTCCATGCAATATTACGCTATATTGAAAATGTGTGTATAATCTCGAGACTACTCTCTTTTGGGCACATTGACTGAGGGGAAAAAAATCCCCCCCCCCCAATTACTTAGGACAGAGAACTCCATTAGTTGAGAAAATGACTTGATAAAGTGCCTAAATGTTGTTTTTGTCATGTAGCAGTTGAGATGGGGGAGGGGGGGGAATTGATTTGTCATATGCCAGTACTTAGCTGATTCATTTATTTCGGTGTTTGGTTGTATAGCTGCTGAGTGAAAGACTCACGCCTACAAAAATCAGGTGCTGACATTATCTGAACAAAAGATATGCGCCCTTTGATCTTGGTACTGCTTTTATACGCGTCCTCTGAACGTACCAGTGTCTTTAAATAACTGCATGATGTCATCCTACACTTTCGCTTGCATACTTGCAGGCCGTAGTCGCACTACTTTTTACATTTTGCCCCCCTTTTGAGTCACAATTGAAGTCTTAATATTCACACAATGGCAAACAAAGCCAGATATTTTGGACAAAACGGAAAGCATTCTTTCACTTTTTACCTTGTAAGGAAGCAGCAAAATATTTACACCAGAGGATTTTGCAGTGGACTCTGCTAGCCAAAGCGCCAACTGCCTTCACCTAAATACCTTTTTCTGTTTGGTTCATCTGTTCTAGAATAACTTCTGGTTTGGATCGAGCTTGATGTTGCTGCCCAGTGACTCCACCTATGCCTAGTGTGTTATTTACAAAGTCTTCAGTGCCAATATGATAGTAAATTAACTTTTATTTATAACGTTTGTTTGTTTGCCTGAAGCATCTTCCTTCCTGACTTGGACTTTCCACTGATCTGGGTTTTTGGAGACAAATTCGGCATTTTTCAGCCAGTGTGTGTGTGTGGCCTGAATTTATGGGATGGCTTGGTAGACTGCCAGTCACTTGTAATTCTCGCCATTGAGGTCAGGCACCCTTGCTTCCTGTTGTCCCAAATTTCTTTTTCAAATGTGTCAAGTTTAACATGGGGTTCTTGGAGATGACTTTCAGCATGTGGGCTGGCTTTGGTGGGATGGCTCAGTCCTGTGATGTCTCTCTGATAGTTCTGTATGGGGGTGTTACTGTACAGACCATTTGCACAGACTGATGTAACTGATTTGATTTGTCATGCTTCTTCTACCAGACTTCCTCTTATGATAGAGGGTGCTGTGACTTTTTAAATGGATGTTCATTGAATTAAATATAGTAGGAGAATTTGGGTGTAGTTTGCTATGCATGGCGTGGTTTTGCTTTGCTCTGTCTGGGTACTTGTATTGCAGTTTGAGGCAGAAAAAGGGCAGGCAAATCACAGAATATATATTCGTGCAATGGCTTTAAAAACTCAACCATCTGTAAAAGGGGGGGAAAAAATCAAATACAGATGCTCCCTGTGTTGCATCAATATTACGACTTTATGATGGGTAAATGTTTATTCAATAAATTACATGATATTCAACACTTTTTTTTTTTCATAATAGGCTTTGTTACATTAGCCGACAGTTAGGCAAAATTAAGTGTTCTAAGCATGTTTAAGGTATGCTAGGCTATGATGTTTGTTAGGTGTACTGTTTTAAAATGCATTTTCACTTTACGATAGGTTTATCGGAACGTAACCCCATCACCTGGGAAGCGTCTGTATAGAAAAACAACTTCAGTACAGCTGGGTCCTATGAAAAAGAGCGGAGAATGCCAGAGTTCTCCACGCTCTGCTGATTCAGCCCAGAGGACAGTTTTCCTGCCTTATCTGGGCCAAGATAGTTGAGAAATGAGTCCCACAGCTTAACAGACGTACAGGGTTTATCCCTTAAAATGGTAGAAAAGGCCTCATTCAGAATAAGACGTGTTGCTATTCTAGCGCACTGTGTAACTGAGGGACTTCTGTCTGTCACACAAAGCGGCAAAATAGACTTTCGAGCACAGTGGAGATCGGGAGGCAGGTCCTCCCCAATTCCCAGTTGGCGAACTGGCTTCTGTGGGTGCTGTAGCTGGCAGTTGGGTTCTGTGCCATCTGACGGTTTGAAGTGAATGAAACTTGTTTAGCTTTTGAGGGTTTATTGCATCAGAATAGTGAAGCTGATGTTGCAGAATGCCATAAAAGGTTAATCTGTTCAGTTCTGTGCTGAAATGTAGGAATGAGTCGTGTGTGGTTTTTTTTTCTTTCTTCTAAACCAGCTTGGCGCCTGGTTCTTATCGTGGGTGCTGTTCACGTAGCATGGCAGCTGTAACATATGCCAGTGGTCCAGGACTGGGTAACTTCCTTTTTCATCAGCTTGCTTTCCTTTTTCAGCACTTCCAGCGTGTCCTCCACCCCTTCCTGAGATTGAGATGAGCTTCTCTTTGCAGAACGTTCAGCCACGGATGAAGTTCTACGGTAGGGCTAATTGACTCTGATAGCGGGATGCAGTTTAAATTTTAAACAGGATTTCTTAATTTCCTGCCATTTCTATTCGGTAACAGTCAGTGTTGGTACGCTTGTTAATGCTGACCAATCGGAACCCCTTTTTCACACTTGGGTAATGTTTACATTTTACCTCCTATCAAAAAGAAATCCTCATGCTTGTTGAATAAAAGGGTTCTGGTGCATCTTAATAAATGAGGATTTTTAAAAATTCCCCCCACCCACATGTGACATTCTTTAAATCAATTTGGCTCACACTCAAACTCTTACATTTTACTTGTTGCAAACCCAATGTTCGCACAACCGGTCGTGGCTGAGGACTGACCAATTCTGAAAGGCGGCCCTACGGAAAACTGCTGTGGAAAACCAAACTTTTTTTTTTTTTTTTTGTGGTTTTTCCCCCCCAAAAGCGAGGAATCCCGTCGATGAGCGGATTCCGGAAGCCGTGAGGCAGCGCTTTGAGAAGCTCATGGAAAATTACCCACAGTTCTTCTCCTGCGGAAGCAGCCTGGCGGCTTTCGTTGTTCAGTCATGTGAGTCATCCGCCAAACTGCTGTCATGGGTATGTTGTGGTGTAACTGTCCTTATTTCAATACATTGATGGATAAATGACTGTTGCTTTCATTGAAGATTCAATCCTGTAGTTCTTCAGCAAGCGGCAATGAAGTACCTTGTACTGTACACTGTTAGTCGCAGGATGCAATTTTTATTTTTATATATATATATATATATATATATATATATATTATATATTTTGCTACACTCCTTCCCCTAGGTCACGTCCTCGGTGACGCAAGGAGAGAGTGACGCTAGCGGAGACTAACACCAGTGTTTCCACCCCTCCAGGTTCAGGATTTGAGGTGGTGGCCATAGGAACAGGGGACTTCAACACGAAAGAGACCGTCACCGCTGATGGCCGCCTCCTTCATGATGCCCATGCGGTCGTGACCGCCCGGAGGTCTCTCTTGCGGTATGTAGATGAGGCACTTCGTGGACGGCTTTCCTGCAGTTTGGCTTGTAACTTTACGTTTTATCAGCAAGGATAGACTTTAAACCAGATGCTAAAGGGATCACTCGCTCTTCTTGGAACCTGCAGGTATCTGTACAGGCAGCTTCTAATGTTTTTCTGCAAGAACGGCATTCTGAGGGAGGAGTCGATATTTAAGCAGGACGAGACCACGAAGCTGGTAAACCTCAAGGACAACACCTCTGTTCACCTTTACCTGAACCAGCTGCCCAAAGGAGCTGCCCAGATTCCCTCCCACCTGTAAGATAACCGCCCCCACCAGTAAGGTGCCCTTCATGGTGCAGACGAGGCCCCAGACTTCCCACTGTCTCCTATTCCCTCCCCCCAGGCGTCTGAATCCCCACTCCATCTCTGCATGGGAGGTGAACAACCAAATCGGCCTCCATGTGACGATCGAGGGGAAGGTCTTCTCTGTCTTCTCCTCCACTATGGAGCAGACCTCCCCCCGGGTGGTCAGCATGTCCGCCAGCGACAAGCTGACCCAGTGGCAGGTCCTCGGTGTCCAGGGTGCCCTGCTCAGTCACTTCATAGAGCCCATCTACGTCGACAGCATCCTCATAGGCAGGTTGCCCCGCCCCCTCTTCTGATTGGCTGTTTTTCATCACATGTGACTTATGACCGTGGGTTTATAATCACAAATGCCAAGAGCAGCCCAGGGGCCTGTATTGTAACGCAAGATTTGTTTGTTAGCTTGTCGGATTTAATGTTTAACTTATCTTCGTTCACTTGCATTTATTCCAGACTCTTAAATCCGACTAGTTGTCTGGCTAAGCAAGAAACCCTGCTTTATAGTACCAGCCCCGGATCTTGGTTTAAGACCAGCTTACATTGCGTATTCAGTCATTTAGATATATAAATGGGTGTCGTGTTCGCTAACCGCTATGCTATCATTCCATTGCTGCTGTTGAGCAGATGTTTTAATCAAGTGACCTGCATATCTAATGCTGTCAGTTTTATGGCTTCACATCATTGATATGAATTCTGCATTATACTGCGTTTATAAGGCTTATGTGCATCTGTGCTAAATTAGCAAATGCTGACCTTGCTGCACTTGTTGGTAGTCTGAGATATGCTCTTCCCAGGAGCATCACCAAAGACTTGTAGGGGGGGGGGGGAGATCTGATATATTTTTTTTATTATTTATTAAAATGAATGAAAACACAATTTAAAGGAATTAGTGTACATTTCTTTAGTACGGCCAAAGCACTTGGTTGCTGAGCTTGGAGTAGAAAGACATTCAAGTTACGGTTTATGTGTTGTCAAACGGGGTTTGTTTTTGGGGGACGCACCTCCGTATAACACCGGGTGTGTCTGTGTCCCCGTCCGCCAGGAGATGCCACCTGCAGTAGCGTGAGAGGATTGGAAATAGCGGTGAACCAGCGTGTGGACGGCATCACCGGCAAACTGCCCACGTACTACTGCGTGAACCGGGCCCGCGTGGGCCTGGTGCCGGCCATTTGGCCAGAGGGCCTTGTGGGGTACCGTGCGCTCAGCGTAAACTGGACGCAGGGCGACACGTCTCTGGAGGTCGTGGATGGGCTGGAAGGACGAGCCTCTGAGGAGTAAGTGAAGTTCCGTCTGGGTAACTCTGGGTGCTTCTGTCTGCCCAGGGTGGGGCGTACTGGGGTGACCCCCACCCCCCACTGCCAGCCAGTTATTTTTCGCGATAAACGAACATTGTTACAAAGTAAGACATTCCTTGATAACACTCTGCTTGATGTGGCACAAATGCTAAGGAAAAAAAACTAAAGTACAAATTTATAAAGAAATATAGTTGCTACATAAGATGTCATTCATTAAGAACAAACATGTTATTGCAGGGTTCCCGTGGGGTCTTAAAGTCTAAAATTCAGAAAGTTAAATTTAAGGCCTTAAAAGGTCTTAAATGCCCAGATTTTCATCCTAGGTCTTAAATTTAATTTACCCAAGTCTTAAAATTCTTACCTCCATTCATTCCCAAAAAGCGTTGTCCACAGAAAATAAAATAGTAAATCGCTGTAAAACTAATCCGTTGGTTGTGTTTTCTGGTCTGCGCCGGTGTCTGCGTGGTAATAAAACTACAAATCCCATTGCGTGATGACTGCAGCTAGGCAAACAGTTTAAGGGTCTGGCTGCAGAACGTGCACTTTCAGCCTCTAACGTCAGGTGCACGCTCAGCCACAACAGGAAGTGCAGGGGAATCAAGCGCTAACTTAGTTCTTGAGGCCAATGTGAACGGTATGTTTTATTTGTATTACTGAATGATATAGTTACAAGTTTGCTTTGTGGAACACCCCCCGGGTCTTCAAATAGACAGCCAAATGGCATAGATCAGGGTTATTCAACTTGTGGTCCTGGAGGTCCGAGCACTGCTGGTTTTCCAGTCTTCCTTTACCTGTCAGTCAGGTGTGAAGCCTCTGACCAATCAGAATCGGTAATTATTAAACTAACTACCTGGGAGAACTGAAAACAAGGTCTGGATTTGGAATCGAGGTCCAGAGTTGAAGAACCCTGGCATAGATCATCAGAAATCTTTCCTTGGGTTACTGATCCTTTTAAGGTATATTCTTTAATTGGCCTATAGGATGTCGTCTTGTTTTGAAATCTCGGGTGATTGGCTCCTTTAGCTCGCCTTTCAAGAGTGGCCCCGCCCTGGCGAGTCGCCTCTGCAAAGCAGCCATGCTGAGCCGCTTCAATCTGGTGGTGAAGGAGGCCCAGCGGGCGGATCTGTGTGCAACAGTCTCGTACAGGGATGCGAAGGTAGCTGCCATGCCGGCCTAAATTCAGCCCCCGTTGGAAATGCCTTTATTGTTGTTAAAGCCTGTACAACAGCTGTTATTTTTATAACTCAACTTTATATGAAAGTTGAGTCAGTGTCGACTAATTGCTGATATCATCAATAAAACCACAGGAGAAGCAAATGCTTTGCAACGAATTCTGTATTCACAATACTTAGCTGCATATCCGACAAGACATCTTTTACACACTGAAGCAACGGGTTGCAAATCGCAAGCAAATCATGCAACAATAACTTGTGCACTACAACTTCCTTTTAAGTGTGAGAAGCTGGATAGAAATGTCGGAATAACACCTGGGGAGGAAAAACAAATTCACAGAAGGTCCGGTCTCTACACTTATGCTTACTCTTTATTCACCGACCGTTCAGGAACCAAGTTCCTGGTTCTGAGTGCCTGGGCCATATTGGACTAAAGATATATCTGTTATAGATTTAATTTTTTTTTTCCCCAAGGCCAAAATATGGAGACGCAAGTGAAGATTCATTAATGCATTTGATATATAAAAATAATACCAGAGCCTTTACCAGAGTTTAAGAGCCTTGCGCAAATCCGCAACAGTGGAACCACTCTTAATAGTCATGGAATGTGAACTAATGACCTTCTGGTAGTGGGCTCGGAGCCCTAACTTGCAGAACCACACGTTGCCCCAGTACAAGATTTAACACTTAACACCTGAATGTTTACCTGTTCCAATTGAAGAAAATTGCTAGTAATTTTGGGTAATCATGCAGAACAATCTTAATGCCTTTTTTTTTTTTTTTTTTCCTTTTTCTTTTTCCTAAAGATGATGTCAAAGTCTTACCAAGAGGCAAAGAATGTGCTGAAGTCCTACCTGTCCCAGAAGAGCTATGGGTCCTGGGTGGTGAAGTCCCCCATAAGCGACTCTTTCAGTATTTAAATAAGAGAAGATTTAAATTCAGTCATAGTTTAGACATTGTGGGTTAACCAATTTTCAATCTCCTTTTGTTTGTACGGGCAATGCCTTCCCTTATCAAAACATAAAGTTTAAAAAAAAAAACAAGCCTTGATTCTGATCTTTCAGGCC